TAAAGGTATATTTAACTATTTTATTATTATATATATGAAATAAGGAGGTCAAATCAAAAATTATCAAAATATGCTTAATTTGATAATATATGAAAAAATAATAAGAATAAAGAAGTTGTTATGTTTTAAAATACATTTATAATTTAAGTTAGCCAAGTGTTTCATAATTTTAAAAGTCCTTGGATAAAAGTGTGGACCGAGATGGACTAAATACCAAGGCACCACAAAAAGTTGTTACATAGAGTCGAGAAAATGTGCAATTATATACAGGGAATGGTTATGAATAACTTTTCATTATTAATGGAAGAGACATATTTGAATATGTATACTTATTCTATGCATTTTACGTACAATGTGAACTTCCTACTTTATTTACTGTAGCCATAACCTTAGTATATGAGTGTTACATACAAGAGTACTGGAGTTATGGATAATAAGACTAAAGTCCGTGATGAAATTAATAAAGTATGGGATCTTCAATTAAAACATCACTAATGCAGCCTAAGACATAATGTGACAATATTATTATGTCGAGAAATCCAAGTAGGAGCACTTATACAAGACTTGATCATATATGACTTGGACCGATCCAATTCAAATTTTTCTTCGCAAATTCTGTTCATTAGATGAAAAATCAAATTAAATCACCATATGATAGTGTATAGATAATCTTATTAAGAAATTATAGACTAATGCATATTTTCTTTGTGATTCTTAATGGTGTCGTGTTCGAAAAGAAGTCTTTCCGGAGACGTTGATTATTTTTCGCTTTTGACCCTATTTACTCGTATTTTCCTAGACTTCTTTAAATGTATACGATTTTGCTTCAAAACGCGATGGGGCACGAAATATGGTTGTTCAAGCTTGTCCTACGAGTCTACGACATTCCCAACACTTGCAATTTAGATCACACTTGCAATGTAATTCATAAATATGGAATCCATTACTTCCTACTCAAAAGTAGATAGTTAATCCTCTCCTTAGTTATTTTTGAAACTGTGTGATTTGAGATCTCTAATTTACAACCTTGAATTATAAATTAACTGCTCGCTGGTGAATTAAAAGATATAATGGAAGAGATTTAAAAATATTACCTATCTTCAATTACGAATAATCTATGGATAATCTATTTGTAATGATTATATCAATCTATTGATTCAGTTTTGTTAAGTAAATTGTTTATAATTGATAAGAGTCCACGGTCCTCGGTTTACCTTCCTAAGTGATTAGATTCCATGAATATCAATATTGTACAATTTGGTTGTAGTAAGATTTAAATAAATATAAGACATTTATTATATTTATGTATTTATTAATTTGTAACTAAATACTAGTCAGATAATTATTTCAAATCCAATTAAACCTGGGAAGTTTAATAAGGTATTGACAGTAGGAAATCTAATTGACAAAAGCTTATAAAAAGGATCACCATCTCATTAGACAAGACTTTCTGCCACCCCTCAACTTGGTAATGAACCAAAATCAAAGTTAAACTGATAAACTATACTATATTGTGCACATTGGAAAAACAAGATTCTATCTCATCTCATAAAATAAATAATCCAACATTGAAAATTGTGTTTATCGATTAAGCTTGAAAAGAAATTAGTATTCGATATTCATTATTTGGTGATCAAATTTTATTACTTAGTTAGATACATATCCCATTCAATTAACTTAATTTTACAATTGCATCCATTAAACTTTAGAATTATTTTTATGGTGCCCAAACATAGCCATTAAATGGGAATATCGAATATGAAGATCATGGTGTCTATCCGAGGTTGCAAACAGCGATGAACAAACGGATTAACGAATAAGGAGGTGAGCAATCAACGGTCAGACCAAAGAAAATAAAACAATTAAAGATATTTTTCCTTTGCTTTAGATATATATTTAATACCATATAGTATGTTGTTGTATCATAATTGAGGTTTTTGAAATCCCACACTTCCACCTTTATTCTATTCAATTGATTGGCTAGGATCTTATTCGACCCAAATAAGATTTTGGACTCATATAGTTTCCTTCACAGACCAGTATCAAATACTAGACACAGAAACCTAAAACTAGAAGATAATGCCTATTGGTACTCCTACAGTTATGAACATGTTAAATAATGTAAGCAATTCCTAAGGCTCGGCTGCATAATTACCCAACACCACTTTAACATTGCAGCAGAAGTTAACAAAACTCTACCAAATATCCTATATTTTTTCCACCAACTGACCAAAGTCAAGTATACCATGTCCATAATTGAAATGAACAAAGCTCTTACATGCAGCCAAAGTCAAGTATACCAGGTTCATAATTGAAATGAAATGAACAAAGCTCTTACATACAGCTGCAAGGCTTGAACAAATTTAAACAACGTACCATTCGTTCTCTCTGCCGCTTCTTCTCTGCTTTCACGGAGAACTCATCAAGAGGTACGCCTTGTGAAACATCGCGCTCAATTTTCTTCCTCCAAACAAATCTGACATTTTCAAAAAGTTGAAATTCATGAGCAACATTGACGACTAAATTGCATTTTCCAATAGTCTATCAAATACAAACAAGACATGTATTCCTACTTAGAGGATTATACAAAATTCACACTTCTTTAAGACAGATACCATGATGTTGTTAAACAGCAAGTTAATCGGGTACCAGAAGTACAAATGCGACTCACTCAACATGAATACATGCTGCCTTGTTTAAACAATATCCACAAGAGTTAAGAAAATAACAGAAGTTCGGAAGCCAATAAGAGGGAGTTATTGCAACTAACTTTTCATTGAGATTAGAATCTCCAAAGGGATTCGAATCATTGGAATATCCCGAGACAGTCTGCGCCTTCAATTTCTTAGCCGCTTTCAGAGCCTGTCATTACATTTGGTAGAGGCATAAGCATACGAGGCGTAAACAAAAGAATGCCCTACACAGAGATCGTAACTAACTTAGGGCAAAAGCACAAACCTTTTTCTGAGCCTTCTTAGCCATGTACTCAGCAATTTCTTCATCCGTGATCCTTCTACTACTCCTGCGCTTGGATGGCCCATCTGAATCGCTTTCTGGAACCCAGCGACGGCTACGGCTACGTCGCTTGGAATCAGAAGCGGGGTCCGGAGAAGAATCATCAGAGGAGTGGTGTCGCCGGCGTTTACTAGAAGACGGCATCTTATGCACCAAATATTTATCGCCTCGGCCACTGGCCCTTGAAGGGATGACAGTGGAAAAGGATTGAGAATTTGGGGTTTGCAACAAAACGAGGGCTGAAATGAGTGGATGCACGTGCGTCTGACTGAGGGCTCGAATACTCTTAATCTACAGTTTAATATAATTTTTCTCTTATTATTAAAAGGCGGCGACCAACAAGCAAAGACAGGCAAGAACAAGCAAGGGCAACCAAAGAAAAGGAAAATTAAAGATATAAGGCAGATAAGGCAAACAAGGCAATTAAGGAAATTAAAATAGTGAAGAGCAAATAAAGTACATAAATTTTCTAACTCTTCTACTGACTCCTAACTTTACTGAAACTGTTTTTCTAACACTCTATGCATGCTTTTAAGAGGTTCTTAACTGAAATTGGGCACCTCGAAACTCATATTCTTCAGCATGTAAGTGCCAGCAAATAACATCAGATATGCAAGGCAACAAAACTAGGCCAAAGTAGGACCTATACATGCCCTTTTTCAAACATTTTCTCAACATACTAAGCACGCTTTTAAAGCTGAGATTTAAACATAAAATTAGCACGAAAACGCCATGATTCAGCACCCAATCCTCGCATACTGACAACAGCAAAATCTCGAAAAAGTAACAATGCAGAAACAGCACAACAAGCCTGCTTACAACCGCACACAACAAGGCATTAAAACTGAACTTTTAACCTCTGAAATGAGCACAAAATTTCCAGCATACATAGCATATCACCACGGCTCAGTACAACTAGGCGCTAAACAAGGTCATAACAACCATATAAAATGCTTCAGGCATAACCCCTCTTAAAGCCAATTAAGCTGAATTAAGACTTGATAAAATCTGATTTAACTCTCAAATCCAACACAAAAACAGCATATAATTGGCACTCCAAGAGGCTCAGCAATTTGCAGTAAAACTTGCTCACACAAAACATGTTGTCTCTTCACTTGAATATAACTAACACTTAAGCATACTATTTGAACACTTCAAAAACTAGATATTAAGCCCGAAACATGGCCAAATGAGGGTGAAGGGGTTCAGCCGATGTACCTTTCTCGGTTAATAAAAAGAAGGAAGAAACAGGTGCTCTCGATAAAGCTCTGACTTGCTCCAGCCAGCTACTGGCACCCCGGACAAATCGCGGTGCTGGAAAATTTTCTCGCTTTCGGATCACCGGAGGCTTGTTTCAACCTGGTGTGCTCGAATTCGCTCAGCCGCTGAAAGAGCTTGACCTAAAACAAAAAGGCTCGTCCCCAACTGCTGCTTGACCCGCCGAAAATGGTCAGGTCCTCGGAAATCTGATCCAACCGACGCTGCCTGCTCTCGGTCAGACGCCTGGGACTCGCCGGAAATCTCGTGCCTTCGGCTTGCCGTGACGGCTGCTGATCGCCGGGAATCTCGTCGTCGGGCCGGGTCTGTTGCGATCGCCGGGAAGTGGCGCTTGCTCGGCCGAGAACAGCTCGGTTCGTCGGATAGCCGGAGGTCAGAGCTCGCAGAGATCGAGACTCGATCGGACTGGAGGTCAGAGTTCGGATCGTGGCTCGACGTCGGAGGTCGAAGCTCGTCGTTCGTCCTCCCGTCGGAATTGGGCGAAATTGAGACAATTGAGCGGAGGGGAGAAAACGTGGAGGCTGCGAGTGCACTTGGTGTTAAACAGGTGAGGCTTTAGGATTTCTTGGAGAAGTGCCGTAGGTGGTTTGGCCGGAAAATGGGAGCTCGGTTAGGGCTTCGAAGAAACTGGCGGCGACTGAAAAATTGTGAGCTTGGAGATGATGACCGGTGGTTGTTACGTCTTACGGTATGTTTGGTTCAAAGGATGGGAGGGGAGGGGAGAGAATTTAATGGAAGGGAGGGGAGGGGAGGGGAAGGGAGGGAAAATAATTTATCTTGTTTGGATGGATTTTGTAGGAGGGGAGGTGAAGAAAAATGATTAACCTTGTTTGGTTAGAAGATGAAAGGGGAGGGAAAATAATGTTAGAATGACAAATATATCCTTAATGATATAAGAAACAAAAAAATAAAATAATTCACAGTAAGGTCAAAAAAGTAATTTGTTGTTAAAATTTTTCCTCCCCTCCAAATTCCCTCATTTTTTGAGGGGAGCACATTTTCCCTTGGAGGAGGGAATTGAAGGGAAAATTTAAACCCCTCCCTCTTACAAAAAGTTGAACCAAACAAGGGGAAATAAAATTTTCCCTCCCCTCCCTTCCCCTCCCCTCCATTTCCCCGAACCAAACATAGGCTTACGTGGTTTGAATTTGGGGCTGAAATGAACTAAGCTTCTTGGGCCGAGAAATAAATGAAGATTGATTTAAAAAGAGAATTGGGCCGGGCTCTTTAAAACACTTGGGCAAACAAATTAAAAGCACACACAAGCCTACTAAGGAAAAGAACAAGTAGCAATCTACATCTATATCTATATTTATATCTATATTTATATCTATATCTATATCTATATCAATATCTATCTATAGTAATATAAAGAGGTTGTTGGAAAATTACAAAAATAGTATGTTTGACTTAAAAAATAAAGTGTTGACATTCTACTTTAAGTAATAATTACTACATTAAGTAATAACCATGTAGGCCCCACACGAGAAATTAATTAAAATAAATTTATTGATTAAATATTGAATATTAACATAAATTACGCAATTAATTGATACATTAATCCTTGAATTTCGTAATTTGTTATTAAATTTATCTGATTTTGTGGGATCACGTGACTATTATAATACAATCCTTGCATTTCTAAATTTGTTAAATAATCTTGACGGATTTTATGAAATTTATGTTCAACCAACTTTTTTTTTTTTTTT